TCTGAATCGTGTTTTAAGTGTAGGGCTTTTTATCAAAGAAATAATTATTCAATAATATGCTGTGATTGCTGACATCCTACGCCACGAAGTAGTGAGTGTTTACGCTATATTATATTAGTATAGATTGCGTGAACGAAATCGCTGGCAACAGCTAGTACAAAATAAATTCCCGAATTTGATTTTTTTAATAATAAAAGGGACAAACGAGCGGCGAGAACACCGAGGTGGTCAATGGCGCCCATGGACATCCCCAACACCAGAGGAACTACAGATGCGTTGCCGGCCTTTGAGGAAATCGTAGGCTCGCTTCTTGAAGGACCCAAAGTCGTAATGATATGATATTGATGTGAACATTTTACCTCAAGTTCATCTTCTAATAAAATTTTCTATTCACTTTATATTATTGGTAACATATTTAATGAAGTACTTTTATATGGCAATACATTCACCTGAAAAATAGGATACGTAATAAATTCCAGGTATGACAGCTGTTAAAGTAGAGTAATAAAATTGCTCCGCCTTACAGTAAGACGATAAATTTGCAAAACAACCTTAATGTAACGCCATTAATATTGTACGTGAGAAACAATATTTTCCCCTATAATTTAAACAGCCCACATCTATACTCTATACCAGTGATTCTTTTGTGTGCTACCAAATTTTTGTCATAAACTATGCTGTGTTATAGTAAGTAATGTTAGGAATAAAATAAGTACCGTGCTATAGAATTGGCGCAACTCTAGATTATCGGCATAAACGGCACGTCCCTAGCTGACAGCTGTCAATGTCACTAGAAGTATGGATAGATTGCCGCGTAACTTGAGTCTTGACAAGAAGTATTGCCCTGAGTTAAAAGCGACAGTATCAATTAAATAAGTTGTCTAATAGTAAATAATTTTTATCTTTTTCTTTGTGTGCCGCCAAATTTTGGAATCGTTAAATATGTGTCGTATCAAAAAAAAGGTTGACAATCACTGCACTAATATAATAAAGCGTAAACACACATTTGTTTGTTGCCTAAGATGTCAGCAATTACAGCATACATTTAAAAATTTCTTTCTTTAATAAAAAGTCCTACACCTACGTCACGCTTTAGGCTATATATTTTCACTATTAAACTTAGAAGGTAAATAAATTGGATAAAAATGCTCATGTGGGGACAGCTACAAGCTGCCAACATCAAGGAAGTAAGATTGCCAAAGATTATCATCAAGTCATGTCATTTTGACATTTGCAATTGATAATTTGACAAATACAAACAGTAAAATAAGATTTTCATAAATTAATGCGGATGAAACCGCACGGGACCAGTTAGTTCAATTATATAAGTTGAATTTAGAAATTTATTAACCGTATAACTTGTATATAGCATCTCTAAACGTAATATAAGATTTAGTTACATAATAAAAAAAATAACAAGGCTATCTTCTTAATAAAGTGACGGTATTCCATCTCTTACATCCGGTTTCCCAGTTACCTTTAAGTATATTTAGTGTTTGGTCCGACAAATTTATGAAATGTTTTATAAAACTACTTAACTTGAGTTTTACTCCGTTGAAATTTATGTCAACAGCAATTCATAAATCGACAATGTCATTTGAAGGTCACGTGACGTCATTTTCAGTCAGTCAGAAGTCAGTGTTATTTAATTCCCGTCAAATATTCTACGCTACAATTAAGATAGCAGGTGACACAACTGTTGTTTTTTTAAACTTAGAATTCCTTTGAACCCTTAATACTTTACATAGTCAGGCAAATTCTCCAAGACCTAGTATGTGACTTTCTCTTAACATCCGACCCTTGTAAACGTAACAATTCATGAATTATTCACAAGTTCAAGAACAAAATGTTAGGGTACTTATTACATGAGATCATGCCATACAAAATAACGTTTGTCCTTTTTAATTAATAGTTTTACAAAACACTAAGAGCGGCCACCTCTGACTATACAACTGTTGTGCGATTGTCGATTGTTCCTCAGCCAATTCAGCTGTTAAATGGAGGAGTGTGCGAACCTCTTTATAAGCTTACTAGCTTCCCCCCGCGACGACGTCCGCGTGGTATTAATAAAAACAAAAGAAGCCTATGTGTTCTTCCAGACTATCCTCTACATTTATGCCAAATTTAATCGAAATCCGTTCAGCCGTTTAAGCTACAAACTCTAACAAACATCGATCTATCTATCCATCCAACCAAAATTTCATGTTTATAATCCATATATCTTTATTTCTTATTTTCTATATAATACATTTTACAAGAATATAAAAATAAAATATATTATATAAAAAATAGAGCACCACCGACTGCGGAATCCGATGACTCAAGCAGCCAGTGGTCAGGGCTGCAGAGACAGAAACCTCCTCACTATTCGTGCGGTTTCTAAAATAACCACCTTTTGGATCGGGCCCTTAATCCAACTGTCTAGCGAGAGCTTCTTGAGGTGTTGGTCGAAGCTCTTCGCTATCAGCCCGTGTACCGAAACGACTATCGGAATAATGGTAGTCGATTTCATACGCCACATGGCGGTAATATCGTTAGCCAAATCCAAACATTTTAATAGTTTATAATATTAGTATGATAAGAATCAAAGCGAGACTAAACATTTATGCATTGTTTTAGTTTCAGATGTGCGCACGCTTAAAAGCAAAGTTTTAATAACATCAAGCCTCATGTTAACAGTTATCATAATAGTCTGAGAGGTTACGAATTGTACTTCTCTTGTAAGAATATTTTCTAAAATGTTCAACAATAGAATACAAATAAGGGAAACCGTTATAGTTAATCTGGCAACATTATACGCTCCTAACACCTTGCTCCGGATAAATAATTCAAAAGCTCTTGACCTCACGCCACGCAGAGCTTTGTGCGAGCGTGGCTTCAAAGCACTACATAAAGCTCTATTTACTGGTTACTTCGGATTTATTTTAAGAAATGATACTTAAACAATGTGGGATTTTTAAAAGGATTCATTGAACCAATTTAATATGAGAAAGGTGAAAACTTTTCCTTCGTAACTAAATTTTATTTATAGAAATAGAAAAATGTTGAATAATTTTATATTTATGTTAACATAATTTGGAACGCATTTCTAAATTTAAAAAAAATATTTAAGACTTGCGTGCACTTATAGAAAATTTAAAAACTATTTAATAAAAACATTAGTAGAATTTGTTGACTTACTAATATTTCCTCTAACCATTCCGACTAAGCATTAGGCTTGTGCTAGGATATGGTTCAGGACAAAAGTCAATTGGCGGGATTCCCTTGGCCGCAAGATAGTCCCTACCCCAAACCAAAACATAAATAAAATAGCTGTTCCCGTGCGACTTCATCCACATAAAGTTATGAAAATTTAATTTTATTATTTACCTGTTTTAAATTATCAATTGCGAATGTCAAAAAGATATGACATGATGACAATCCATGGCAACAGTGCTTCCTTCCTTGATGTTGGCAGCAACTTATAGTCTCTTACCTACATTAGCGTTTTTATCCAAAATATTTACCCCCTAAGTTTAACAGCGTGAAAATATATAGCCTAAAGCGTGACTTAAGTGTAGGGCTTTTTATTAAAAATAGAATTATTCAAAAATATGCTGTTATTGCTGACATCTTAGGCAACAAAGAAGTGTGTGTTTACTTTTTATTATAATAGTATTGATATAAATATATAGTATACATATATTTAATATTTAACAGAACTCTAAGCTTACGCCAAGAATTAAATAACTGCATACAATAAATTCTGTACAAAATTGATACCGCACGTTTAAGATTTATTACCTTGCAACCATAAATTTCTATAAAAGACAAAGGAATTCGAAGGCAGGTAAGTGTTATAAGTCCTCCATAACTCATTCTTATCTGAACCTTTTTGTGAAATTTATATTCATATGCGAATTTACTACTCCATTGTCCGATTCAAAAAAATAATTAAAACATTCCAAAAACCAGATTTTAATAGATCTTACAAGAATGTTAATTATGAGTGTGGAGGTACACCGATTGAGGTAGAGGAGGAGATGGATGGATTGCGTGAAAGATGACATGATCAAGAAAGGAGTCATAACTGAGATTACAGATGATAGAGTTATCCGGAGGACAAAAACTTACTCTGACCATATAGGACCAGGATCATAAGAGCGGGAATAAGGGCGGGCGCTGCTATCGATTGGATATATCAGAATATATGAAACCTATACATAGTAAACGATAGTAAATGAGGGCGCTAGTAAGCTTTCATAATTTATAACCACTAGGTCAAACAACTTATCTATAGAAGACCATAGAAGGCAAGGTAGAAGATTCTTTATGCTTAACAGTCCTAAAGTTTTGAAAATCACATGAAACCCACTAATATTATTGTCCAAATTTGATTAACATGTAGCAATGTCACTCATAAGTAATATCTAATTATGAATATTGGATTTTTAGTTATTACAAATGTTAATCCTGTAAAATTTCAGTATAAAAGGTGTTAGTTTCATATAGAAGTTGAGTAGTCTCTGACTTGCCCCGGCACACGGAAGGTAGACCAAAGACTGGAGTAGTTCAATCTATTGATTTTCTCCAAGTCTTTGGTTGTAGCCTACCTCCTCTTTCATAACAAAACTAAAAGGTAACTAAAGTCTCCATTATCTTCAGTCATTCTATCTATATCATAAAGATGAAAGATATGTATTTTTGCATATATTGAAATAACTCAAAAACTACGGGGCCGATATAAAAAAACAATAAATAGCTACGTTATCAGAGTACCATAAGCTATAATTATTACAATTGTCTTTTTCACACGGATGAAGTCGCAAGCAAACAGCATTGAGCAGCATGGAGCAACAGCATACAAATATTGTGTAGATCTTGTAGTCTTTTCTAGAACTTACTATAGTGATCATTATGTACTTACTGTGATCAAAAGAAAAGAAAAATAACCTTAATTTTTTGAGGATATCTTTTACTTCTTTTGTCTATTTTAATACTTATTAATTCCTCTAGGCAAGATGATGTACGGCAGTAATCAGACAGTGGTGGATAAGGTACCAGCGGAAATGTTGGATATGATCGACTCACACTGGTGAGCCCTTTTTTATATTTAACTTTTTATATTAAACATAACATAATTTCTGTTATTTTATTATAGATCGTGTTTATAGTTTTACAATGTGGTATATTTTTGCAGGTACCAATTTCCACCCATGAATCCATTGTGGCATGGACTGTTGGGCTTTACTATAGGAGTCCTAGGCTTTATATCTATCGTTGGTAATGGAATGGTTATCTACATTTTTACGGCTACTAAGGTATGTTAACAATTGCCTCTTTGAATATTTTCAATCAGTTGTCTTTACAATGTTTTACTTTACAGAATCTGAAAACGCCATCCAATTTGCTCGTCGTCAATCTTGCTTTCTCCGACTTTTTAATGATGTGTGCGATGGCTCCTCCTATGGTTGTTAACTGTTATAATGAAACTTGGGTATTCGGTTAGTATATGCATTTTGTACGACACTTCTATTGCACAATCAAATAGATTTCCTTTAGAATTTCAACATGGGATCAAGAAGTCTACAAAATTTTTTATCAATCAGGACTTTCTAGTTTTTTCTGGTTTTACTTTCAGGTCCATTGGCTTGCAAACTCTACGGTTGTGCGGGATCACTATTCGGTTGCGTGTCCATATGGACTATGACGATGATAGCATTTGACAGATATAATGTTATCGTAAAAGGTATCGCAGCCAAACCCATGAATAAGAATGGAGCATTAACACGTATTCTAGCTGTTTGGATTGCTGCCTTAGCTTGGACTCTGGCCCCATTCTTTGGATGGAATAGGTAAAGTAACAATTTTATGGAGTTACCTCCCGTTTCAAGACAATCTTGGTTTATTGTCCACTGTCGCTGATAATGTAAAACACTGAGATATGACTATAAAGATCAAAATAGCAAAGCTAACATTGGATGTTGATCAGTCAGATGATATCCATCTCAAGGAAATAAGGTGTATACATGCTCCGGTCTTAGTACCACGGTAGAAGCTTTTTGACTAATTAGGGTTATAAAATATCCTCATGTTTTATTGGAATTGTATTTCAAGATTAAATATTTTACAGGTATGTGCCAGAGGGAAACATGACAGCGTGTGGAACTGATTACTTAACTAAAAACTGGAACAGCCGTAGTTACATCCTCGTCTACTCGGTCTTTGTCTACTTCGCGCCACTTCTATTGATCATCTATTCTTACTTCTTCATTGTAAAGGTAATTTTCCTTTCAATATGTTGGATATTCGTGATTTTCCGTCTTCTTTGTATTGATTTAATTTGACTATTTTTCAGGCCGTGGCTGCGCATGAGAAGACGATGCGAGAACAAGCTAAAAAGATGAATGTTGCTTCTCTTAGGTCATCAGACGCTGCCAACACCAGCACTGAATGTAAACTGGCTAAGGCAAGTGCTTTTAGACAAATAAGAAGCCCAACTGACGACTAATCCGTTTCAACAAACCACTCAATTTGTTTTTGTCCAATAAATAAAAAAACTCTCTTATATATCATCATGTCTCCTACCTTACCCTACATCCGAACGCTCGACTCACCTGGTTTTCGTAACCATATAACTCTATTATCCGTCACCACTCCGTTCTTGATCATGGCACCTTTCACGCAATCCATCCATTTCTTTCTATGTCTGCCTCTACCGGTGTATATCTCTACACACATATATAAAGTTCTCCTATTGCTCTCTTAAAGATAAATAATTACAAAAATTCCACAGTTATTTTATTTTTGCAGGTGGCACTAATGACTATATCGCTATGGTTCATGGCATGGACGCCTTACCTGATTATCAACTACACGGGCATCTTCGAAAGCGCCCCGATCAGTCCACTCGCCACCATCTGGGGCTCTCTTTTCGCCAAGGCCAATGCAGTCTATAACCCTATTGTATACGGCATCAGGTAACTAAAAAATTAATTCTTGCTACCGTAACAATTTCTTTTTGAATTGGTATTTATTTGGATAGTTCATGAGTGTGAGTTCAGTTGTTACGTTTTCTATGATATTTTGCAGTCATCCAAGATACCGCGCAGCGCTATACAAGAAGTTCCCTTCATTGTCCTGTGAGGCAACGTCAGACGATACCGATTCTGCGATATCCCAAGCTACAACTGTCTCCGAAGAAAAACCATCTGCGTGATCTACAACCAAAGACTTGCCAGAGACTACTCCTTTATTGGCAATATTAGCTTTGTTATTTGGACTAACGATCTAATAAATATTTAATTAAATGCAATTGGTTCGAAACCGTTAATTTTGTCTTTTATTTTATGATATAAGAACGATATGAAACATTTACTACTTCCTTCTAGAAGATTAAAAATAAATGCTTCTATACTCAATAATGGTATGTACATTTTCAAGGAATTTCTATACACATGGCAAATGCGTACAACGTGACTCCATTTACTAAAGAATTTGGAGGAACTACGTGAGGGATCTACATGGATTGTCATCAACTTGAAATGGCGTATAAAGCTATCGTTAACCTATTTTAGAACCGAAATAGTCGTAATTTTAATCGAAATCTACATCGATTAGTTGGATGGATTAATGTTTGATAGGTAATTTCAGCTGAACAGATCTGGAAAAAAATTGGCATATAGTTAAATTACCATCTATAATTTAGTGTAGCCTTTATTTAGTCATGATAAGAGATAAGGGCGTAGCGTTGTGCGATTGTCGATTGTCAATTGTTTTGTAGCCCATTCAACTATTTAGTTGCACAACTAAAAATCATATATTGTGTCTCAATAGTTATGCAATAGTTTAGTCAAATCTTACTAATGTCATAAATGCGAAAGTTTAGATAGATAGATGGATGTTTGTTAGAGTTTGTAGCCAAAACGGTTAAATGGATCTCGATGAGATTTGGCACAGACGTAGAGGATAGTTTGGAAGAACACATAGGCTACTCACTTTGTTATTTTTTTATTCAACGCGGACGGAGTCGCGGGCGAAAGCTAGTGTTTAATTTTTTTTTTGCTTTTTTAATCAATTCCAAGCAGAAACAACATTTATACAGAGCAATGTTGAGTGCGGGACACTTTCACAGTTTTTACGCTACCATAACGTATACTCAAATCGTATCCGTTCAATCTGATACAACATTAAGTGCAGGGGAATCAGGCAAACGGTAATTTAATTCCCTGGACGATATCCAAATGCCCCAATTACTAAATGCAATAACCGAGCTCGAGCCAAATCAAGTTTACAACCAATAACTGTTATAGGTGCAAACATACTAACGTATGTTTTGTCAAATGATAGCAAATCAAAAAGTTAACAGAGTGTTATAGATAACTTTTCTATTAAGAGTAGCTAATTATTACACAGGTTATGAATTATTCATAACCTGTCTGTCTTTTTCCTTACGGTATTATTATACTTTCCCGTGTCTATTTTCTGTCATATCTAAATTCATTTTCATAGGACGCAATTTCAATATTCAGTAATTCAACCGATATATAGCATGCTAGAAATCCCCGTATACAGGCTATCGTCTAATAAAGTTAATCGGTAGCTATATAGCAGACGTCTGAAATTCAATTTACGAATATATTATGAATAAAAAAGGCCAAACAATGGCTAACGAAACTGCAATGACACAATGCACTAAGCAACCTTTACAGATCACGCTCACTCTTGGCTAAACTATTGCACAACTGTCTAGTCTCGCTTTGATTCCTACGACCTATGAAGGTACACTCGATTTTTAGTTGTGCAACTAAACAGTTGAATTGACTGCGAAACAATCGACAATCGCACAGATTGAGTCAAAACTGTGCGCCCGCTCTTACAGTATAGTAGTCAAAACAAACATATTTATTCACAAAAGTGTTTGAGTGAAACTACAATTGCTAGATCCATCTAGAAGAAAACATGATGCTCTAAAAGAATGGAGAAGGATAATAACAATTCACACACGTATTTTATTTCCACAGTATTAGAGTCGAGTGCTGTTAATTATAGCGATGTAACTTTAGCTGTACTCGACCCTTGTCACAGGCAAGACATTTTAGAAGAAAATAGTAACGATGTTCTTACTACGGAAGTGAGATGGGTCAAGTTATTCAGATAATATGTAGCATTAATTTAAAAAATACATGCACTTGAGCGTTTTTTTTTAAAGCTGGATCAATTAGATTTTTATCATTTTTTTAATCTTAAAAAAATACACAGATGATATATATTTCCTCTTTCTATGCGTCTCTTCCATTGTTAAATCCATTCTAACGAAAATAGACTAAAATTAGGCCTCGTCGAATATATCTTACTAATATTATAAATGCGAAAGTTTAGATGGGTGGATGGATGTTTGTTAGGGTTTGTAGCCTAAACGGGTGAACAGATCCCAATGAAATTTGGTATAGATGTAGAGGATAGTCTGGAAGAACACATAGACTACTCACTTTTGATTTTTTCAAAATTACGCGGGCGGAGTCGCGTTCGAAAGCTAGTATTACATATTTCTCAATTTAAAAATAATAAATTCCCTTTCAGCTTCTCGTTAAGGAATTTTCATACATACGAAAAGGTTCTTTGTTACGTAGAAAGGTAATTCATCCGTACGGATAAGACTTCATATCCTTTAGACTTTATTCTACTGAAAATTTTCCACGGGATAAATTTTTAAAAAGTAATTCCAGTAAAAGTCTGCATTAAAATCGTGCTTAAGTGCTATGCTAACATAAAAATGTTAGCCGAAAATGATGCATTTGTATGAAAAATAATTTTTATCTCTACTGTTACCTTTCTTAAAGCACTTTCATTATCTGATTTAACTCCTATATGTTTTCATAACAAAACTAGCTTTCGCTCGCGACTTGCCAGCGTAAAAATAAAATAAAAGTAAGTAGCCTATATGTTCTTCTAGACTTTCGCATTTATAATACTAGAAATATTAGATTATCATCATCACCAGCTCACTATATGTCTCCACCGAGGGGCTCGGAGCCTACCCTAAGTTAGAGTGTTGCACTGCGGGTTGGTTACACACATATCTTTGAATTTTTTCGCCGATACGTACAGGTTACATCACGATGTTTTCCTTCACCGTAAGAACGTCGGGTAAATTATGTACATATGAAAATTAAAAAAGAAAATCACATTGGTACATGGCAGGATTCGAACCCAAGACCTGTAGATTACAAGTCAAGTGCTTAAACCACTGAGCCACCGACGGCATGCTTTAGATGCAGAATTAAAAAACACAGTAAGAAGCTTATATGTTCTAGATTGTATCTACATCTGAGAATTTAATCGAGAGCCGTTATGCCTTAGAAATAAGTACTATCAAACAAACATTCATACAAATTCATTTATATTAGTTTGATATCTATGTTTGGTTAGTTATTTAAAGACGACCTTATTACAACTTTTTATACTAAGAACACGTTAAATTAACCGTAGAATTTCACTGCTTTAAATCCTGTACTAGTATTAGTACACAAGTCTTCCCTACATCAAATTCCACAGCAAAGCCACTACAGTCTTCAATTGTACTAACAGTTTCTGAACTGAGTCTGTAGCGGGCTTACTCTACAAATTTTGCACTACGAACAATGATCGTAGAGAAAACTGAAATCGCTTCGAACGTTAGGATTAATGTAAGAAAGGTATGTTCGTGTTGCCCCCTCTCCCAAAGCTAAGCTGTTCCATTTGTCTCCGTAGCACGATGCTACACGTCCCAGCTGCTACGAGTGTGGATTTTATAAATTGCCTTATAGAAAGTTTATTGCAAACTTTAATCAAGGAAGTTCTAATGAGAAAAGATTACTGTTAAAATTAATAGAATAAAATACAGTTGTGTTGTAAATTAGGCCTTGTCTTACGTTTTGTAAATATTACTAAGTATATTTCTAATATTACGAGTATAAATGAGAATATTTGATTGTCCGGGTGGATGTTTTATAGAAGATAACTCTAGAACCGCTTAGCGCATCTCGCTGGTATTTAGCATAGATTTAGATAATAATCTGATAAAACAGATAGACTATCAATATTTATTTTATTCAGACAGAGTCGCAGGACACAGCTTAAGTATATATTTATTGACAGGATACTTGTTTGTATACAGTATTGCTTTTCATTTTTAATTATCTTTCGTAAGAGTTAAAACGGTTTCATCATGAAACGTAAAATATTCAACAATATTATTGTATTACTAGCTGTTCTCGTGCGGCTTCATCCATATAAAATTATGAAAATTTCATTGTATTGTTTACATTTGTCAAATTATCAATAGCAAATGTCAAAATGACATGACATGACAAACCTTAGCAATCTTGCATGCTTGATGTTGGCAATAACTTATGGTCTCTTTTCCGCATTAGTGTTTTTATCCAAAATATTTCCCCCTAAGTTTAATGGCGTGAAAATATATAGCCTAAAGCGTGACGTAAGTGTAGAGCTTTTTATTAAAAGAAAGATTATTCAAAAATATGCTGTAATTGCTGACATCTTAGGCAACAAAGAAGTGTGTGTTTACGTTTTATTATAATAGTATAGATAAAAAGAATTTTCTCAAGAGTATTTAAATTTTTTCCATTTCCATTTATTAAATCGTAATTAACAATTCAAGTTAAATCAACATTCATATTATTTTATTATATGAGATTTTTTTTTAAATCTCTTCTAGGAAATAAACCAAATCTCGCACACTCCATGTTCATCTAATTCCCAAAAGCTTACAAGCAATTATGTAACCAGTTAAGGGTCAAAGGCGATACAATCCCCGGCTTAGCTCCCAGCCCTCAGAAGGTATTAACACAAAATTTTCCCTCTATTACTTTTTAATCTTTTATTATCTAGTTACTACGAATAATACATATTCATATATTTTATTGAAGTTCGATCCATTTAATTTTACAAGAGTGTTATCACTGACCTCATTTGTGGAGAATCAAAGAATGTAAAATATTAATCTCTTCAAAATACTAAGATGTCTAGAACAATGTCAAAAACGCTTAACTATAAAGCGTCTTAAGTGTTGGTTGCTTCTTAAAAAATTGGACCACGTGATAGTAAGCATTCTCTTTAGAATAAATATAAGATTTATAACTATTATATATTACTATACATCTAACCGACTTGATCAATAGCTTTCAAACATTATCGACAAAAAATGTGCTAAATTTTTATCCATATTGTGCGTAAAGTATACTAACAGCACTAGCCGTGGAGTCGCGGAAACTGTAGCCACTACTACTACTACTACTACTACTACTACTACCAACAAAT